CCCCAGCCACCCATCCCGCCATCCCCTTCCAGCCATACCGCCGGCTGGAAAATCTATCAGCCCGACAGCCCCCCATCTAGCCGTCCCTCTCAGCCTCCCAAGCATGCCGCCGACCATCATATGTTTTCTCCTTTGAATTTCAAATTCCATTGAGTAAATTACTTTCCTCAAATAGCTTTTCTCTATTTAGGAAAGTCAATCAATGGACATGAATTCAATTTTGAAATTCAAACCTATTTCCTCCATTTCACAAAATAGGGAAACTTACTTAAATTAGAATAAATCTGAATTTAAATTCAGATTTGAGCTTAATTTAATTATTCCCTTGGGCCCCACTCTCATTTAATTTAAACACAAAAAATGAAACCCCCATAGGGCCGGCCCCTCTCTCCACTTTGCCACCTAAGCACCAATTAAATCCCCCATAATTCCCATCATAACCTCCGGCCCCCACTCCCCCCATTACTCCCTTAATTGAGATTAATTTGAATTTTAAATTGGCCCCTTTCCTTTTAATAAAATCTGAAATTAAAAATTCAGATTTTTTTTCCCTCCAATCTCCTAGCCTACTCCAAGCTCCTCACCCAAATCACCCCGCCTTTTCTCCCCACCTTGGCCGCCCTTTCAGGCTTACATTTTCTTCATTGGCTGGCACTTTAGGAGGACTACACTTGTTGTCCTGCTAGCCGAACACTCCTATTTTGCTGTCCAGAGAGTTCATGGCTGCTGTTCTGAATATTTCCGACGAGACAAACTGCTATCCTGCTCTCCAGGAACCCCTGTTTGCTGTCCGGAAAAGTCATGGCTGCTGTTTCAGGATTCCAGCAGTTTTCTAGTGTTGATTCGTCATCCGGAAAGCTCTCATTGGTTGCTCAGAAGATCCCACACTGCTGCCCACACGCAGAACTTCTTCAAATTCAACCACCGGACTCCGGATCTTCTCCCTCGCTACTCAAATTCATCTAAGAATTTTGACGACGCCGAACTCTTCCCCAAGTTTTCTATTTTTCCTAGTTTATGTTCAATTGAGGTTATATTTTTGACTCACAAAGATCATGTCAAGCTCTTCACCGCTACGCTTAGAGAACTAGAGAGTTGAGTGAGGGACTCATGCATAGTGTCTAATCTCGTTGTTAATTTAGGTATTTTCGTTGAACAATTCATGTATGCAATGTTAGATTAACTTGGTTGTTTTCTGATCTTAATTTTTATGCACATGATTCAAGCCTAAGCTCGTTTTACCGCTCTTAATGTTTTATCTCGTCGTTCAAATCATTATAAAGATATAATTATTTGTTCTCTCTAAAATTAAGCGTGCAAATTCATCAAGTATATCATCTCGGCATGATTGTTTCACATCAGAATCAGAAAGAAATATGAGAAAAATCTCAAATACCTATTAGTAAACTATCCTATATTTGTGAATCAAAGACCTAGAAGTAATCCATCCTATATTATGTTGCATTGACAGAAGGAATTATGCAAGCCAGAAGAAGAGGCAAAATGAGAGATGAAACAGACGGAGAAATGGGAGGGAAAAATACTGACAAAAGATAGCCAGCAGAGTTGTACCTCGACTTGCTCATGAAGTCTTCTTTGCACTTCCATCTGTGCTCTCAAAGCCTCTTTAACTTCCTGATTCCTACAAAATACAATCATTAACACTAACATCCCCAAATAGGTATGATCCATCAAAGTAAGTTAAATTGAATAAGCTATGTGACAACGCACTAACACACAAACATGAAGGCGGAATTGTCATCTTACTCATTAATATCAGAAGCAGCCACTCTTGGAGACAAAGAACTGCTACCTGGAACTTCCACATGGTAGGAGCCGAAGTTAAGAATCCAGATGATATACGAAATAATAATCTCAGTTATGTTCTAGTAGCTGTAGGACATAATACATAGAAACCTTAAATTTCATATAATTTCAGTAGGTGAGCACTTTCAACATAAAATTACTACACCCAATAGTACTTCTGGTTAGATTGCTTTACTCGAATTTGAAATGTTTACCGGTATGATTTTTTTTTTTTTGGGGACATTTAGGCCAATTAAGTCAAACTCACACACATCGCATACAAAAGACTCAGAACCCAAGACCTCTTAGTTGGTAGCCTAGGCTCCCAACCAACAGACCAAGGTGAGCTAAGTATCCAGTAGAAGATGGGCCCCATAAGTATCCATTGCGGGTTCCATACACCTAACATGGAGCAAACATATACAAAGTAAATAACTCAGGCCATGTCTTGCTTTACAATTTCCCCAATTTAGATATCCAATAAGTTCTATCAGACAAGCAATTTTCAAAATTGGAGCTTGATCTGAGTTTGGGTATCAAACCAAAAATCAAATTGATTTTGCTTATCCTTTCACAACAAATCAAACGAAAGCTCCACATAGTCATGTGTAACAGTAAGGAAGGAATAAGCAGAAGTTTGAAAATTCCAAAAAACTGGGACAGATAATGAGTAAATTACCATCTTTAGGTTGCTCTGTCATTTCTTTGCCAGATTGCTTTCCCAATCTGTATTTCTGATCACCAAAATAAACATAAAATAAGTACATAAAGTAAATAAAGCCTTTTTTTTTCAATATACTTCAAGCAGATAATTTTTATGCATATTTGGCCCTAAAATGGTATTGAAGGATACACTAGAGGCAAAGAAAGAATCTTAGAAGCGACTGGTAGTAAACTGTTGCATTACTACCTGAAGATGGCTCTTCAGGTGAAAAAGTGTAAGTCCCTTTACACCCATTGTTCGCATAATGGTCTTAGGAGTAGCTTCTGTAATAAAAACCTCGACTTATGAATGACATTCAAGAGCAATTCATGATAATCATTAAGGAAATAACAGGGCTTAAAATATTTGAATGGCAATGCAAGAAGAAAATATGAGATTCAAACACTTCCAAAGTAGGGAACAATTTGGTCACATGAAGGTTGAAATTTGTTTCTAGAATTGTTTCTTTATGCTTGATTGAGTTATTTAGAAATAAATAAATAAATAATCAGCAGCTAATTCATATCCAGCCTGCTTGATTGAGTTATTTAGAAATAAATAAATAAATAATCAACAGCTAATTCATATCCAGCCAAACAACATTAAGTGCCCAGAATCAGAAGACTCATAATTCCTAGAACATTAAGTGCTCAGAATCAGAAGACTCATAATTCCTAGTTACTCAAAAATCAGGAATTTTTACAATTTCAACCAAACACATGGATCCACTAATGTAAAAGCCCATAGATGAAACTAAGGCTTCGTTTGAGACGGCTTTTTTACTGCTTCTTAAAGCGGCTTTTTAGTATAAATTTTTAATTTTTTTACTAGAAAGCTATTTTACGAAGCAAAAAAAAAGTCATTCCAAGGCTTTGTTTGGGACGGCTTTTTTACTGCTTCTTGAAACAGCTTTTTAGTATAAAAATTAATTTATTTACTAAAAAGCTACTTTATGAAGCGGTAAAAAAGCCATCCCAAACGAAGCCTAAACGTCTACTTCATAGGCCTTTATAAGAAAAATGTAGTTTTTGCATGAAATAATGAAAGCAATTAAATCAAACACCAGAAGCCTGGCTGTTAAAGTAGCTTCCTATACCATTGTCTGCCAAAAAAAAAAATTTTACTCGCACAACATTTTACAGAAAGGTATCAGAAGTAGTAGAAGCAATGAGAAGATCAAATCCAACACAGAAGTTGTAGAAAATTAAAAAATAAGCAATCAAGCAGAAAGAAAAAAAAAAAGGCATGCCGTGCTGCCACGTAGCACTATAAGAGGTAATTACTATACACGCAAGAGCACGAACTGTTAGAACATGACGAGAAAACACATAACAAAGAATTTCCACAAAGAGTAATAACACCAATTGCATATCAAAACTTGAAATGGAAACTGCAGAACGAGTTCTCTCTTCATTCAAGAAAATTCTCAATGAATTTCCAAAGAATTCTGAACTTCTGACTATTTCCAGTTTTGTGAAGTTCTTGCAAAAAAATAACAAAATCAAGGTTCCCCTAAGTAGTGCAGCCGAAGCCACCCAAGGAAGCTACTCGGTGACTTGAAACAAACTAAGTTCAATTATTAGTTCAATTAGCCATTTTGCTAGAAAACAATTTAAGGGGATTTAGATTCTTCAATTACTATTACTACTGTAATTACATATTGTTCAGTTGCCCGCCACAACTAATCAATCTACTTCTGTCAATCTCAGTCATCTAATGTGGTTTGGATGGCTAGGATAGTGATACGACTTAGAAGTAAAAACAGTAAATAAAAGGGAAGAACAACGTAGGAACACAAAGATATGGCTGATTTTCTTATTTCTCCTTCAGAAATAAAGCAAGATACAATTGATCTACTATTTAAGAGGTAGATCAACTCTCCCACAGACCCTAGATGCCGTTAGGAACTCACAACAAACACTAGAAAAATAAACTAAGAGAGTCTCTTCCCTAAACCATAGACAAACTCCCCCTTAAATAGCCCTAAAACACCATAAGTCCATAACACAATTAGATCCTTCCTAATCAACATAAATATAATATAGGAAATCTTTCTAAATAAATAGAACCTTCCAATCAACATAAACATAATTTAGGAAACCTTTCTAAATAATTATATATTATTTAATAAACCTTCCTAAACAATTAAACATATCTTAGGAAAGCATCCTAAATAATTAAATACTTCATAAATAGCATAAACACAATTAAGAAACTTTCCTAAACAACTCCCCATTGATTAGAAACCTTTCTAAATAATTTTTTTTAATTAGAAACTTTCCTAAACAACTCCCTCTTGACTATGAACCTCCTAAACAGCTCCCCCTTCCTGGTTGTGGGCCCCCCAACGTATTATTATCCCTCTCCCAAAACGCACCTTGTCCTCAAGGTGGAACGAAGGTATTGTCCATCTAAAAGTCCTCTTGGATCATCAAGCATTCTGAGAGTTTCAATTGTTGAAGTGCTCTTGTTAATTCCTGCTAGAGTTTTGTCATAGGATTTCTTGGAAGGCTGTGCTTGCATAAATCTTAAATATTCCTTCTAGCCCTTCTCTATTGTTATTTTTTTCCTTTGTTTCTTTCCCAAACTCAATGTCATCTAGGATTCTCCCAATCTTTTTCTTCCGGCTCTTGCTTATTGATACATTGATTTCAACATCTGAAAATGCTGAATCACAGTCAACACTAGCATCCTTGTCTGAAATATGATATTCAAATTGTTTCAGTTCAGAAAAATGATGAGAAGCATTTTGAATGGCAGGTTCATCAAATCTCTTCCAGGTACACTCATCATAAGGAAGGCCACACCATTTAACCAAAGCTTTTCCTCCATTTTTACGTTCACTCAAAGAAATAATGTGTTGTGGTCAGAAACTTCACATTATTTATGATAGCTGCTTCATACTTTGCTTTATAATTCTCAAGTTTTCTCTTTGCTAGAACTTTTAACTGATCTTCCAAAACCCAGTTGTTATGCTGATAGGAAATACTTGAGTTTGCAAGTAACCCTAAAGGAAATACTTGAGTTCGCAAGCAAACTGATAGGAAATACTTGAGTTCGCAAGTAACCCTAAGGTAATACTTGAGTTCGCAAGCAACCATAGTCAAAATCAGCCCAAAACAGTGAGCAAAACTGCTGTCCCAGCAGTTTTACAGCAGCTCCGCAGCAGGAAATGCACCCAAACAGAGAAAAATAAGGAGAGGAAGAAACAACTCTCCAATTCTCTAGCAAAGCCTAGAGCCCAAAAGCACAAACCCTAGATCTCAAATCAAATTTCAAATTCAAGATGAAACCCTAATTCTAGCATTAGCAACTACTTAAAGCCAAATGAGAAATACAAAATCCCTAAACAGCCCCTAATTCAAATTTCCCTCCTAAACACCCATTTAATTAATTGCTTGGGCCCACTAGGGCATCCGCCCCTCCCCCTTGGTTTCACCCCCGGGTTTGGGCCGGGCTAACATATGCATGTTTGATTTACCTACCCATTTTACAAAAAAAATTGTAAGCAACACATCAGTGTCCTTAGGCCTCAATTCCAACTCTGATTCCTTTGGTACTACAGTATCTTCACAACTATGATAAGATTCAAGTTCTATGGTACAAGCAAGCAAGCGCATCTTGTGACACACAATTGGCTGGCATTTCAGAAGACCTAGGTGTGTGAACCTCATTGAGATTTTCAATGGAATAAACTCTACATGTACACTCTCTTCCAAACACTTCTTAATGATCAAGTCTCCAAAATTTCTATCATCACTAAGTTCAAACCCTTTGCTAGCCATGCAATGATCTAGTGAGGGCTAACAATTGAATAACAACTCGCCCTCTGCCTTGCTCATGAATTCCCTAGTTTCACATATTTTCTCATTAACATCTTTACTAGACTCAATGGAATTCGCAGCAATTTTCATAGCAATCAAATTTTCATCACCTTGGAACGCCTCATCCATGGCATTCTCCAGCTTCCCATCTACAACTTTACTTCCTTTAAAAAAGTCTACTTGATCACGGTTTTGCTGATCGGTTGAATCACAAGATGGAAACACAGTTTGCAGCATTGCAATATCTACTTTCATTTTTGCTTGAGAAGTGGCCATGCCAATTGCAAGACTAATACATGATGATTCTGTTTGAACTCAACACCCCAGAATGCGAGCAACCTAAGGTATGTTATGAAAAAAAGTCCTCATGATAAGTCATTGTCATCTCAAAATTTTCACCTCATCCACTTAACTCATGAGACATGAAGTGTGCTCCATTAGACGAAATTTGAATTTCATCCTTTGAATATTTCGGCTTATATTCAATGTCATCTTTGAACTTTGAGAACTTTGTATCAGTTGCATCATGTGTCTCAACCTCAACATTTCCATATTCAAAAATACCCATTCCAATAAAATCCAAAGGTGCTTTCACCAGTTTTCGTTTATTCTCATATGTTGGCTTAGTTTCAGTGTCTTTCAAATATTCATTTTTGGATTCAAATATTATAGGTTCTTGGTTTCAACGTCTTTCCCAATAGCTTTTTACTCCCCCAATGTAGCGGTTGTCGTGATCCCTCCATGTTTTCCTGTTGTATTAAGGGTGGGAATCCCACCTTTCTTCCACCCTCACATGACCTGATTCCAATGGCTCGGCTTGTTCCCCTCCTCCGATCATCTACTCCCCTAGCCCAAAAGACCTCTCATATTGGTCGATCACCCCACCACCTCCATCACGAAACTCCCTTCTTGCTTTCCCCCAATCCATAAATGTTATTATGCCCCTTATCAAAGCCCTACGAGGTGACTCTTGATGAAAGGAGCTCTCTTTGTCGAACTCTTCCCATCCGATCTTTTTTCCGTCAGATTCGACCAAGGGAATCTCGATCAAATCTTAATTAGGGCTAGCAATTGGAACCGTCGGTGGGGTTTTGGAACGCATCTTCATGAGCTTCTCATCATCTCCTCCAGAATCTCCATTCTCTTTGGTTATATCCTAGGAATCGTCGGTGAAGCTTTCAACTGCATCTCAGCATCTTCTTTATCAAATCCTCTAATTTCTCAAAGCGGTTCTCAATGGATGAGAGCCTCCCTTCCATAATTGAGAATTTTCCTTTGATGGTTGAGAACTTTTTCTTTTATCCGGGATTTGATTTGCTCAACTTTGTTTTTCAATGCATCCACCTTCTTTGTTGTCATCTCTCAAAAAACCTCGATTCGATACCAAATTGATAACTACTTGGAAGTAAAAATAGCAAATAAAAGGGAATAACGGCATAGGAACACAAAGATAGGGCTGATTTTCTTATTTCTCCGTCAAAAATAAAGCAATATACAGTTGATCTACTATTCAGGAGGCAGATCAACTCTCCCACAAACCCTAGATGCCACTAGGAACTCACAACAAATACTAAGAAAATAAACTTAGCAATCCCCTCCCTAAACCATAGACAAACTCACCCGTAAATAGCCCAGAAAATCACAACACAATTAGAACATTCCTAATCAACATAAACATAATATAGAAAATTTTTCTAAATAAATAGAACCTTCCAATCAACATAAACATAATTTAAGAAACCTTCCCAAATAATTAGACATGATTTGGGAAACATTCCTAAACAATTAAACATATTTTAGGAAACCATCCTAAACCATTAAACACTTCATAAATAGCATAAACACAATTAGAAAACTTTCTTAAACAACTCGCCCTTGATTAGAAACCTTCCTAAACAATTTTCCTTAATTAGTAACTTCCCTAAACAACTCTCTTGACTATGAACCTTCCTAAATAGCTCCCTCTTCATGGGGGGATAAAGGGGTCATGGAGGTGTTGAGGTGACAATTCACACAACATGGAAGGAAGGTGACAATTCACACAACATGTGGAGGTGGAGGGGCTCACCAAAAAGAGGATGTCAGACGAAATCCCAATTAGTTGATGAAGCATAGCATTTGGAGCAGATCACGATGCCATGTGGTTGGATAAAGCAATAATGGTAGAGTAATGAGCGTGGATGAACAAAGTAAGGGCAGAGTCATGATGGTTAGCGACATTGAGGATTGAATGCAAAATAGTTGAGCAAGTGGTGCTTCAAAGTTGCAATGGGTTAATTGCATGAAAGATGGTACAATGAGAGAAAAATTGGAAGGAGTTGTGATGTGAGCTATGGGATTGGCAATTAAATGAGAGTGGAGGGATTGAAAATGCTATGACACCAAACTAATGATGTTGCATAAAGAGAGATTATATAATGAAAAATGGAAGTGGTAGAAAGCAAGTCGAAGAGAATAAAGATAAAGATGGAATGAAAGGTTCAATTGTGGATGAGAAGAAAAAATATTGAAAATCTCAATTGTAGTACTCATTCAACGATTAAATCCAAGACCCACGATCTCCTTAAATAGATGGAACCATTAATTATTATTTCAATAAATTAAATTTAGAATAATCTTCATAATCCTAAATTTAAAATTAAAAAAAAAAAAAAGCTTAACCAAATTATACTTCACCGTTTCTCCTTCAACTTCATTGGGCAGACTATTCTTTCATAATCATGCTAATCAAATCTTAACAACTCATGAGTAGCTCAACTCTAAGAGAACTAATGGACAAGCATGATATAATTAAAGGCCTAATTAGGACTGTAGCAGGTAACGTATATTGTAAGAAAAATGTTCCTTCCATAGAACTGCAAGTACATCTTACATGCACATAATAAGGGTCAAATCTCCTTTAATACTAATTCTAAAAAAGCATTACAGTAATAGTCTAATAAAGAATTGTAAAGTTAGAACAAAAACTAAACGGAGGATTTACATATTTAACATCTAAATTTTATTATTTACACACATAACACTCAAAACATCAAAAAAACAAAAAATGACACAGTCCATTACAACCCCATCACCCTATCACTACGCCAACAGTCCCATTAGCCTTCACACGCCATTTGTCGCTGCTAAGCCTCTCACCCTCGCGCTCCCTCTCTCGTCTTGATCTCCCTCCATCTCTCTACTTGATCTCTTTTGCTCCTATAGAAATTCTTGAAGCCTTTATCAACAGATAAGAGGAAATCGCAGGACAGCTCAAGGGAGAAGACATCGACAAGTCTAAACAGTTTTTGGTGGAAGTGAAGAAGTGGTGCCGGAGCTTGCTTAAGGAGAGCTCAACAGATCCAACGGCATGCGGCGAAGAAGAGGAAGTTGCGGATGAGCTCATTGGGAGAAGGCATTGATGGGCCCAACGATGTGCCAGGCAAGATTCGGCGAGTGTCCGTCAAGATCCGTGGAAATGTCCGGCGAGATCCATTAACTACGTAAATAATAAAATTTAGGTGTTAAATATGTAAATCCTAATGTTTTGACTGCCATGTATGCAAATCCCTTAAAAAAGAAATTCATTAAACTTCAATAACAACTCACAAAGGACTGAAAGCAGCAACAAAAAAAAGGAGAAGCCAAAATTAAGACAATCTATACCGCAAGCAAGTCTAAACATTAACAAAACCTAATTTGGAAAACGGAACAGATCTCCTGATAACATCCACGGTAAATGAACCGCTAGTTCTAGAGCAAAAAACCAAATTTTACGGCGTTAAAACAAGAAAACCGCCATGATTCACCTGACAAGCTTACAATAGAAACAATAATATCACTGTATAGCACAAAGATTACAAAAGTGAAAATAAAAAAAACAGGAAATGAAAAGGTACAAACTTTCAGGGCCTCCGAGCTGGGCGACGGCATCTACGAAACGCTCGTGGAGATCGGCCGTCCATCTAAGTCGGGGCTTAGGATCAGCCGTGAGTACTACGCTGGGGCTGTGGATCGCTTCCTGTGGAATCGATGCTTCCTGACGATGGATCAAGCCAGGAAACATCTCCTTTTGAGAACAAAAAGGAGATACCCGAAGCTCAAATGGCCGTGAAAAGGGAGGTATAAAGCAAAATGAAGATTTTTTACTTGAGAGAGAATAAAACGCCACTTTGGTTGAGGGAGACCTCTCCCCAAAGCCGATGCCTGGATAAAGTGAGAGAGAGAGAGAGAGAGAGAGGGAGAAACAAAATATGGTCAAGAGCTCTTGTTTTTTTCTCATCATGTATTATTATGAGATAAATTTAATATGATTTAAATTTTAATGTTAAAATTAAATTTTAATTAAACATAATCAATTATTCATTTATGTATATTTTAATTACTAAATATAATTAGAAAGATAATTTTTAATATAAGTTGAGATAATTCAGTAGTTGTTATTTAAATTAATTGATTAAGTTTAACTATTAATAAGAAAAAAAATTAAAACTACTTATACCTCAATTTAGTTGATATTTTTGTCATACAATTACATCTAATAATATATATCTATATTATTATTGATATGTCACAAAACTTTGTCTTGATCGAGCACAAATCATGATGCAAATTTAAATTAAAATTTTATAGAATTAAATTTGGGACCATGTGAACTCAATTTCATCAAACTTATAAATAAATTGAATGTCTCAAAGAGACGAATCCAATGACATCAAAATCGGTCGACCCGAACCCGACCCGTGTCGGGTTAATTTCGGATTTGACCCGAACCCGACCCGTGACCCGAAATTGACACCCCTACTCTCAACCAAAAAGCCAAGGTGAGCTGTGTAATTCAGATTTCTTTATTCTTCCCTTTTAATGACTTACGAGATTCCCTTTTTGTTCTCAAAAGATATGTTTTCTGGTTTGATCCATCGTCAGGAAGCAACAATTCCACAGGAGGAGATCTACAGCTCCGGCCTAGTACGCACGGCTGATCCCAAGCTCCGACTCCGAGTCTCCGATGGACGACGATCTCCACGAATAGTTCGTATTCGCCGTGCCCCAGCTTGGAGGCCGAAAGTTTGTTCCTTTTCACTTTTTATTTCTTCATTTTTGTCATTTAAGCGATCATACAGTGATTTTATCGTTTTTCTTGTGAGCTTGTCGATCGGATGAAGCATGGTGATTTTGTTGTTTTGATGCCTTCTAATTTGGCTCCTTGCTCTCGAATGAAGCTGTTCATGGAACATGGATGTTTCTTGCGGTTTTGTTCTATTTGTCAAATTAGGTTTTGTGGGGGATGCGGTGATAAAAATTGTCTTTTTTTGTTGTTGCTTGCTCTTTTTTTTTTTTACTTTGATTATACTATTTTTAGTGTTTTATCAAATATCTCCAATTTATAATTAATAAGTATAAAAAAATTGTAATCAAACTAAGTTAATGGATTGACTCGGGTCATTCGGGTTATTAGCAAGCTGAGTTTGGATTAATATTTTTTATTCATTTATTAAATGTATCAAATGATTAAAATCAGGTTGAGTCAATTTTGGATTTGACCAGAATCTAAAATATTAACCCATTTTGATATCTTTATTATGATATAAAATTGATCTCAATTCAGTCCCAAGGGGCGGGGACGGATGCAGTGATAAAAATTGTCCCTTTTGTTGTTGCTTGCTCTTTTTTTTTTTAATAACTTTGATTGTACTATTTTTAGTGTTTTATCAAATATCTTCATTTTATAATTAATAAATATTAAAAAAATCAATCAAAATAAGTTCATGGGTTGAACTCGGGTCACATTCGGGTTATTAACTGGCTGAGTTTGGATTAATATTTTTTATTCATGTATTAAATGTGTCAGATTGACTAGAATAAGGTTGAGTCAATTTTGGATTTGACCTGAATCCGAACCATTAACCCATTTTGATATCTCTATTATGATACAAAATTGATATCAATTCAGTCCCAAGGGGCGATGATGGATGCGGTGATAAAAATTGTCCGTTTTGTTTTTGCTTGCTCATTTTTTTACTTTGATTATACTATTTTTAGTGTTTTATCAAATATTTCCAATTTATAATTAATAAGTATTGATATATCATCGAAAATTTATCTTGATTGGCCACGAATCTAGAGGAAAAAATCAAATTGGAAACTTCAAAAATTAAATCTGGGATCATTTGAACTCCGATTTTAGCAATCATATAGTCAAACTAATCTTCTTAGAAATACAAACCCAACGACACAAAATTCAACTCGATACGAGCCCAAATGGATCCAAATTGAAGATCCGAAGCACATTTGGAAGGTTCAATCCATAATTTGGATTGTCAAACGATTTCCAAACATGAAATGCTTGTAGTTGAATCGAGCGGCTCGACGAGACGAATCCAATGAGCTCAAGATCGTCGAATTTTGATATCATTAAGACCTACAAATGTCTGACGAATGATCCACGATCAAGGGATTCAAAATATCGGTCGTCCATCAAAACCACTGCACATATGCTCTTGATCCTCTTCCTATCTACGGGTCATGTCATCCTCAAAAACTTATAAATAGTCCCACATTTTTCTTAAGAGGGGACCCACGCAAGAAGAAGAAGAGAAAAAGAAAAGAGAAGAATGATAGGAGGGAAGAAACTCCTCCTCGACCACCGTTGCAATTCTGCCCGACTTCCATGGGACGCCGGAATTCTGCCCGACTTCTACGAGACGCCGAAATTTTGTCCGACTTCCATGGGACGTCATAATTCTACCAGACCTCCACGGGACGCCGGGATTCTGATAGACTTCTCCGGGACGCCGGGATTTTGCCCGACTTTCACGGGACGCCGGAATTCTGCCAGACTTCCACGGGACGCCGGAATTCTGCCCGACTTCCACGGGATGTCGGAGTTCCGCCCAACTTTCAAGTTACGCCGAAACTTCGCTCAATCTCCAAGTGACTCTGGAGTTTTGCCTGAATACTATCTAGCGTCGAAGTTCTCCACGGGCCGATTGACGTCGGACTTCTACCCGATGTCGGATCTCCGCTCGTCGCCAAATTTCTAGCCGACATTGGACTTCTGCCCGTTGTCGGATTTTCGCCGGACATCTACCTGATGCTAGATTTTTGTCCATTGCTGGACTTTTATCTAACGTCGTCCTTCTAACCTCCTTTGTTAGATAACAGTCCTTTTGACTTACGTCACCTGCTGTTTTGATCCTTTTGACTTACATCGCCCACCGACTACAGTCCTTCCGACCTTCTTCTCCCGCCGACTACGATCCTTCTGACTTATGTCGCCCATCAACTACGGTCCTTCCAACCAAACGAACACGTCAATAGTGATTCTTTGTATTCACATTATGTAATGTACTATGCAAGATGTACATCAAGCTAAGGCATTCCCCCAAAGAAGGGCCTCATTTGTAATCAACTATAATAATAGTGGATTCATTCAAACTAGGCTAGACCCCGTTGTTTTTCCCCCCTTTTAGAAGTTTTCCACGTAAAAATCTTGGTGTCTCATATGAATGCTACACTCTCTCTTATTTGATTGTGTGCCAGATTTTCGTACAATGCTAAGACACTAAATTTTATATTTCTCTACCGCCGTGAATACTCCAGGACGCAACAAGTATATAAAAAAAATTAATCAAACTAAGTTAATCGGTTGAACTCGGGTCATTCGGGTTATTAGCGGGCTGAGTTTGGATTGATATTTATTTATTTAATGTGTCAGATTGACTAGAATCAGGTTGAGTCAATTTTGAATTTGACCTGAATCCGAACCATTAACCATTTTGATATCTTTATTATGAT